CACCACTTCAGACTCAAATGGACTTCTAGCTGACATCTCATCTCCCCAATCTGCGTTTGATTGCTTGATTAATTTCTGCCCAATTCCACTGAGTTGGTCTTTGAGCCCCAAACGTTTCAAGAGGAAGATAGTTGTTCTGTTCTTGCTAAAAGGTTGCAACCGGAGCTCCTCAAAACTACTCCCTTTTCCTCCCAACGCAGCACAAAATCCGCGCCGAAGAAACCGAGGGAGGCTCCTAGAAAAACTCTGCCCCTAAGGCATGTTCGAAAGCGCGGATGAGCCTTGCCTAAGATCACTTGCCTGCACGACCTTTGTTTGTGTTGTCTTGGCATCTTCACTTGTTTCCTGGAGCATGTGGAGGGTGCCTGGATTCACACTGCTAAGAGGAATGCTACACCTTCGCACGGGTTTGTTTATTGAGGAAGCTCAAACAAATACAACCCCAACTTCTCATCTGGAACCAAGAGGAAGCACGGCTGGGTACAGGGGGTGATCCTGAACGGGAAGCCTTAGTAACACACGTGAGCAGACTTGAACCCCTGGTGACCCACAGCAACTTTGAGCTTGCCCGCTACTGCATGACTTCTGATTCTTTAGCGGAGTTGACTGCTCAACCGAGTTTCGTCCTTTTGGGGCGAAAGGACACCTACCAACAATGTGTTTTTGCAGTTTGCCAGCTCAAAGGGAATAAACAAACATCATGGAATCATGCGAATTCTCTCGGGAGCACCCGAAGTAGGCAAAACAGCAAGGATGCGAGCTGTTTTCTGGATAGGATGAGAACCAAACACATCCAAGAAGCAAAGAGAGTCATACTTGGCGGAAAGAGGGGGGCGAGGTGTAGGGGATCGGGAGTACATGGAGCACGAAGGCCGGCAGTGGTCAGAGTCGGGCGCCTGACATTTGCCGAAAACTCGGTTGCTTTCTGCTCCCCTGCTAAAAGTTTAACTTTTAGTGGTTTAATGGAAAACCCATGAGTTTGCAAAAAGATAAAGTCCTAACATCCAAGCAAAATGAACCAAGAAAAGTGATTCCAGAAACAAAGCCCCCTAATTAAACACAAACAACTCCTGGTTGAGTAGTTGGGAAGGGGTGTCAGATTTTTTGGGGTGTGGATGTCACTTTTGGAGGAGCCTGACCGAATTCCCCTATGAATCTGCCGGGTTGTTCATAGGTTGTAGTCGATCCATGCCTCCCGCAAGGAAAAGAAACTGATAGCACAAGTGCACCGTCTGCTCAGTTTGCTGAGCAGAGAGCCACTTGCCTGAAACTCCGGAGAAAACTCGTGCCTTCACCCAGACCCCTGTGCCGGCACCTGATCTTCAAGAGGACCATCTCCCTTGGTTGTAGCCAATTTTAGGTACCAACGCCAAACAGCTGAAGGAGGAAATGGGCACTTGGGGTCTGGGTGACTGTTCACAGCTCTCGTGGCCTATGCCCTTTGAATTTGAATGCATCATCCGTTCCTAATGATAAAATACGCCCCCCACAAAAACAAGATCGCTTGCGGGCGGAACACATTTTTTTGACAAAGGAATAAACTACTCTCTGACCAATGTGGGAAGTGGATGGACAGGAAGCTTCCCCAAAAAGAACGTGGGAAGACTCCACACCTTTCGAGAGTCAGCTTACATTGTTGGAGGACAATTGAAAATCCGTTTTATGTTTGGATTGGTGATTTGAAGGATGCGGGCGGCGGTCCAGCCCCTTTCCAGCTTGGAAGGGAAACCAAAACAAAATGCGCCAAACTTGGGGCCTCGTACTTCTAAACGAACACAAAACAGAACAAAAACAGAACAAAAAACAACCCCCACATGAACAACAAACAGAAGGAGCCCTCTTCGCATGTCCAAGTGAATAGCTGCCAGTGCCCAATGACCTGGTAACACAAGTGAACCAATTCTTTTCAGGATTAACCATTTTTAATCACAAATCTTCAAGAACTGGGTTGGGGACACACATCTTGAACTTCTTGGCTTAGCGTGGACACTTTATGGCACTGCTGGGAATCAAAATAGTGGAATGCCAAACCTGCCGGGTTTCCTTTGGCTTCCCTTTAAGCAAGCTCAAGAAGCGTAGCTTCGAAACAACACACCTCCAGCACTCAGCAACTCATTCGCCAGGGTCATAGATCGCCAAGATTGCGCGCGAACAGTGTGCCAGCACTCAGCGAACACCAGCTCCGAGTTCGCCAACGCATTTGAGTTGTCGAAAGGCCGCTAGACAAGTGACCCTCCCAGCAATTCACATAGAACCTGCCAGGGGTATCCTGGTTTGGACCATTTTCCTGTTTAACGGGGCCGGGTCCCGAACGTCAGGTTCCACGTTACTTAGTGGGAGGGTAACTGCCAGGATTTCCAGTAGATACGCTGTTCTTTCATCTGCCTTGATGCCCTTCCACTCAGGTTCATGGGGAGATGGTGCCCGGAGCTAGGCCATTTTGGAGTTTTTCAGATCAGGGGGAGGGGTGTCCATGTTTTGAGAGAACACCCTTTTTGTCGGCACTTAAGGGAAAGTCAACGGAAGCCAAGAAGAAGAAACCCTCCACAGTTTTTGCCTGCGTGTGTCTCACTAAGCCCAAGCCATTTTTGATTGAAAGGGGCATGGGAGCAGGGTGATGTGTCTCCCAAGATATATGGTCATTTGCCGACTTTCTGCAAATGTGGCTTTCGTTGTAGGCATAAAAGCGGCTCACATGCAGAGCCATTCAATGGACACCACGTATGTCCGATTTCAGTGAGGATCCTTCCCGGATTCTTTTGGTAACCTCTCCGCCAGGTTTATTCAGGGGCAACATCGGGGTTTCCTCAAAGGATGCAAAAGCATGCTGCTTTGCAAGCTTGGGGCGGCGTTTTCTCGCTGAAGATGGTGCCAATTCGGCCGTCGACGGAGCCGGACGTTTCGGAGTCGCTGGCTGCGCTGGCTGGGCACCGCTCCAATGCTCCTCCGCACTGCTCCGGGCCGGGCAGCGAAGGACTGTGCCTGGCAGCCGACTTGGGTAACCAAAGGTCCGAAAAAAGAAAAAAAGAAAGAAAAACACATACTGGGAATGGACGAAATCCTGCACCACGAAATGAAGCCATGGTTGAAACCATTTCGTTTGTTGGTGTTTTCGGGGGAATGGGCCAGAACTTCAAGTCCGCCACCAACGTGGCCTTCCCAAACATTGTTTAAGTCCAGTCATAGATAGCGAACGCTGGGATGTGCAAACCGTTTGGAGGTGTTGTCGCTCGCCATTGTTTCGGCTGGCTTGTCTGGCCAAACCGCCAAAAATAAATAAAACGACCTAATGTTGACCCCATATTGATCAACCCCTGTTTGTTAATAGGGGGTCTGGGTTTAGTGGGAAGTCAGCACTTTTGGAGGGGAACACCCCCTCTTCATAAACTGGGGTTAACAAATATGGGGGTCAGCACTAAGGAACTGCCCACATGTATTTTGTCGAGGCGAATCTCCGTTTGTTTGTTTTTTCCTTGGGCTCCGTCTCCACAAAACAAGTACTGAATCCCCAAAACGACAAACCAGGCTTGGGTTGCCCTGACGGCATCCGCACCAAGGTTCTAGGTTAGGGACCCAGACCAGTGGGGCTCCATGGGAAAGAAAGGGAGTTGGTACTCCTTGTTCTAGGGGAATCCCCTGCAAAAGAAAGGAGTGCCACTCTACTTAAGACCATTTCTTTTCAAGGGATTTGTTTGTTGATTTTAAATGGACCCCCTTCCCTTCAAGAAAAGGAAAAAGGAACTGCACCCAACCAGGGTTCTACCTTTTGATTGCCCTCAAAAAGAGTTAAACCCAGGGTGTTTGATTCCCCTAAAAAAGAGTTAAATCCAGGGGTGTTTAATTTCCCTAAAAGCAAAACCCCTTGGTTTAAGCCTACCTTGGGGTAGTCAAAAGGTAGGGAAAATACTCAAGCCGGATACCATTGCTCTGGCTTTGATTTCGTTTCAGGCCATGGCTTCGTTCAGTGGCCTTGAGCCAGAGATCACTTCACAAATCATTTGCAAGGACTAGGTCCTCCAGATTTGAGAGGTTAGAGTAAGGGTACCGTTTCTTTTTTCTGTAGTCTATTTTAGTAGGGGAACCCTCCCCCAAAAGAGGGTAAAAGGGCACTAGAGGAGCTGGGAGTCGAAAAGAGGTTGAACAAACCTGTGGAGCCAAATCTCGCAAAAAAAACTGGGACTTGAAGCAAAACAAGAAACAAAACTGGGATAACCCCAAACTGGGAAAACCAAACCAAAAAGAGACAGCACAACTTGGACAACCACAACTGAAACACCAAAATAACAACTTTTGAAGCCCAACTCGCGACCAACACTTCACAGCCAATACAATCGACTCATTGCACTTCGCATCCTTCACGAAAGCCCACTGTCCACCTGTAGAAACCTTCCATGGACAAGGCCAAAACCAGTCCGAACTCCTTGCTGTCCAAAACCACGAATCATCAGACCCAGATTCTGCGAAAAGAAGCCATCCAAAAGCCAGCGGGAATGAACCAAACTTAGATCCCTTGCGCATCGCGCGGCCTGGCTGGTAAGACTCTAGCCCCCAAGTCTAGCAAGTAAATTCTCTTGGCGCAGCTTTTGGCCACTGGCGTTTTTCTCCCCCGCACTTGTGGCAGGGCCCAAAACGCAACTGTCTACTGAGGGTGCCACCTTGGACATGTGCCCGCGGCCTTCTGTGGTTGCCAAGGGCCCCCTAATAACGACTAATATCGCCTGTTAGGGCGAATAGGTTTCCGTTTGGTTGCCGTTCTGGGGCCTGACAACCATGGAATAAGTATATATCTATACAAATAAATATTGCACTGATTGACCCTTGTGCTGAGCTGTTGCGCTAACTGGCCAAAAGCTAAAACCTGTTGGGTCTTAGGAGTAAAGAAACCTGTCAGAAAAAAAAAAGAAAAGAAAAACAAAAACGAGATAACTCTGGGCGACTGAACAGGGAATAAGAAGGACCTTCGACTCACCTTTTTGCAGCAGCAGAAGTGCAGAAGTAGCTCAGCAGCAAAGGTATCTGGGCGTAGAGGCGCAATACTCCTGATATTCCGCACCGAAGATCTTCGAGAGGAACTGCTCCTGCGCGGTTCGCAACTGGTTCGCGGGCCACTCACTCGGAGAAAAACCCACGCCTCTGAGAGAGCTTTTCTCGAAGGGCTGTATTTACTGCCAAATATATAAGCGGAAGAAGCCCAAGGGTCGTCCAAAAGAAAGATTGCTGATATGACATGGTTGGTACTGGTTGGGATTCTACAAATGGACCCAGAACTCTGGAATTTGCAGAGTGGACTGCCCAACTTCTTGATTCCAATTGGAATTGATGGTGAGGGCTGTTGGCAAGTAATTTCGCAAGCTGCCCGACATCACGAAGCCACCGATTTTGGAGGTTCTCTTCGTTGCAGGGGTGCTCCCCCAAGCTTTCAGCCTGCATCATCAGCAGCCTAGCCAACGTTGATCTTCTGAACCACCATGTGGAAGGGCAGCCAAACCCAACTCCGAAAACACGCCCGGACTCCGTAGCAACACAGCAAGCCGTTTGCTTTGCTCAAGAAGGTTCCTACATGTCACATTTGAAGCCCATTGAATTCAAGAAAACTCGCTTGAACTTGGCAACTAGAAGGTGATGTTCCGCGGAACATGCCTTAATCACTTACAAAAGGCAGGAGGGTTCCCCCAAGGCCCGCTTCATTGAAGGATTCTGTGGATGCGTTGATTTCCAGTTCAACACCATCCAAAAGGAAAGCCCCGTGCCCCGTGAAGCCTGGCCCACGCGAAGAGTTGCCCACGTGATGTCTGGGTAATCAGTGGGTCAAGGACCCAGAAATCGTGATTCCCAACCATGACACCTGAACGTTTGATAAATCTCCGATAGAGAGCCTGACTGATTGAGAAGCGTCTTGGGAGTCCTCGAGCCTATACCCCCGAGCAAGTAGCTCGGCGATGGCACATGTGCCTTTCAACCCCAGGTTAAGGGTACAAAACGAGTAGGAAACAGAGTAAGAAGGAGACAAAATTGGCGGAATCAGGGCTGTGGTTGAAATGGAATCCACTGCGATACAACAAAAAGGGCTTTCCAAAGACTGACCCCCCCCCATTTAAAGGAAGAGATTCCCTTGCACCACAGAAGTGAGGATAAACTCCTTGATCCCACAACCCTGGATGCACGTCATGCAAACCATTTTCTAGAAGAGCGCCCTATGCTCCTCGGCCGGAATAACCCAGACGTGCAAATAGACGAAGAGGCCGGGTGTCAGCAGGATGGGCCACCAGGAGTTGATGAGAAGTCCCAGCGTAGGCAAGACGCAAATCCTGACAAAGGGCCATCCAGAAAAAAAAACAACTGGGGTTCTCTCACCTTTTGAGTTGGCGCTGGCCAAAACCAGTTTCCCCTCCCAAGCATCGAACCTGCAGGTCTAAAATCCTGGAAGCCGATTTTCCGTTTGAGGACCTCGGTGGTTCCTTGGAAGTCACGTCACTTTTGGGAGTTCTGCTACGACTGGCTTGGGTTCCATGTGAATCTGAAGATGGGGAGGACACTTCGTGGGCCCGAAAAAGAAAATAAATAGATATATATATATATATATAAAACAAGAAGACACCTGAAAATAAACGGGCTTCTAGTGTGCCTGTGTCTGGGAAAAATCAGGGGGTCAGATCGCCTCTTCCTTTAAGGAGCCCGTGGACTTTCATCTTTGGTGGGAGGGTGCCCCAAACGGTACCGTTTCAACGAACGAATGCACCTAGCCTAGCGAACCCCCGAGAGACATTGTCTGAACAAACGCAGTAGTCCATCAGGAGCTTGAAGGAGAACCCGTTATTCAACAAAGCGAGCTCTTTCGGGCCTTGCATCTGCATTCAAAGAATGGGTTGCTGTTTGTTTTTCTGAGAACGGAAACAGTTGCGCACCTGGAAAAAAGGGGAATATAGGGGAATCCAAAAAAGACGGAAAGCAACATGTCTAGTGGGTTCCCCATTCTGTAACCAACCATCATTTTGCAACGCCAGGTGAGTAGAGTTTGTTTGTGTGTCGGCCCGCAAGCCTCCAAGAGCGTGGTAAAACCATGGAAGGGTGCTCACGCGAGCCGAAAAAAGCAACAAGCGCCTGCGCACAAAAAAGCGCCCGAAAAGTTTGGGTGCGGATTTATTTTGGGAATTTTTTCGTTTTGTTTTGGGATTTTTTTTCGGTTTTCGTCCGGGCCAGCAAAATGTCGTATTTTACTGCATTTTCTCGCGAAATTGACGCATTTTACACTAGCTCGTCAACATCCCCAGCATCGTTTTCAACATCCCCCGCATGTCCGACCAACATCCCTAGCATCACCAACAAATCGTGGGTAACAAAATCCAAAAATGTAGCTGGCGGGTTGACGGGGTGAAAACAATGATGCTTCAAACAGGAGGGCATTTCAATCCCAGCAAAAAAAATACAAAAAAACAATTAAGAAAAACAGAGCGGGGTAGTGATGATTCGAACAGGGGTGCAATTAAATCTCTGCAAAAAGTCTAAAAAGTAGCGGGGGGGTTGGAAGAATTGATGATTCAACTAGGGGTGCAATTAATTAAATCTCTGTAGAAAATCTAAAACGTAGCGGGGGGGTTGGGGGGGGGCGGCAGCCCCCCCATGATGTCGGAAGAAGTGGTGATTCAAGTAGGGGTGCAATGATTCAAGAAAGGGTGTGATAGAATTTAAAAGGCAGCGGGAGGGTTGGCGGGGGTGGCTTCCCCTATGATGTTCGAAGAAATGCATACATACAGACATACACGGACTACACAGATTACCTAAAATGTCGTATTTTGCAGCATTTTCTCGCGAAATTGGATGCTCGAAAAAGTGATGATTCAAACAGGGGTGCAATTCAATCTCTGCCGGGCCAGTAAAGTGTCGTATTTTACAGCATGTTCTCGCGAAATATACCTCGCATGTCCCACCAACATCCCTAGCATCACCCACAAATCGTGTGACGGGGTCAAAGAAATGATGATTCAAGTAGGAGGGCATGTCAATCCCAGAAGTGATGATTTGAATAGGGGTGCAATTAAATCTCTGCAAAAAGTCTAAAAAGTAGCGGGGGGGTTGGGGGGGGCGGCAGCCCCCCCCATGATGGTTCAAGAATTGATGATTCAACTAGGGGTGCAACCCCCCCATGATGTTCGAAGAATTGATGATTCAACTAGGGGTGCAATTAATTAAATCTCTGTCGAAAATCTAAACGTAGCGGGGGGGGTTGGGGGGGGGCGGCAGCCCCCCCATGAGGTCGGAAGAAGTGGTGATTCAAGTAGGGGTGCAATGATTCAAGAAAGGGTGTGATAGAATTTACAAGGCAGCGGGAGGGTTGGCGGGGGTGGCTTCCCCTATGATGTTCGAAGAAATGCATACATACAGACATACACGGACTACACAGATTACCTAAAATGTCGTATTTTGCAGCATTTTCTCGCGAAATTGGATGCTCGAAAAAGTGATGATTCAAACAGGGGTGCAATTCAATCTCTGCCGGGCCAGTAAAGTGTCGTATTTTACAGCATGTTCTCGCGAAATATACCCCGCATGTCCCACCAACATCCCTAGCATCACCCACAAATCGTGTGACGGGGTCAAAGAAATGATGATTCAAGTAGGAGGGCATGTCAATCCCAGAAGTGATGATTTGAATAGGGGTGCAATTAAATCTCTGCAAAAAGTCTAAAAAGTAGCGGGGGGGTTGGGGGGGGCGGCAGCCCCCCCCATGATGGTTCAAGAATTGATGATTCAACTAGGGGTGCAACCCCCCCATGATGTTCGAAGAATTGATGATTCAACTAGGGGTGCAACTAATTAAACCTCTGCAGAAAATCTAAAACGTAGCGGGGGGGTTGGGGGGGGCGGCAGCCCCCCCCATGATGTCGGAAAAACGCCACCTGCCGAAGAGGAACTGGGAATGCAGAGGATGCGAAAAGCCAAAAAGCCACCAAAAGCCGCATAAACCAGCAAAAAGCCGAAAAGCCTAGAAGCCCAGAAGCCGAGAAGCCAAGAAGCCGAAAAGCCAAGAAGCCAAGAAGCCAAGAAGCCAAGAAGCCAAGAAGCCAAGAAGCCAAGAAGCCCAGAAGCCGAGAAGCCGAGAAGCCAAGAAGCCAAGAAGCCGAAAAGCCAAGAAGCCAAGAAGCCGAGAAGCCAAGAAGCCAAGAAGCCAAGAAGCCAAGAAGCCAAGAAGCCAAGAAGCCAAGAAGCCAAGAAGCGAAAAAAATTCCAAAAAAAAATCCTAAAATAAATACCCCTCCGAAAAGTTTACAGGTTCCCAAAGGCAATTGCCTACGCGGTGCCTCCGCGACAGAAAGATAGTTCCCCCCAAATACTAAACAAACGAATGCTTAGCAGAATAAAACATCTGCTCAGCTGCCCCATTTTGTTTGTGCTGGAATCTTCTGAAAATCAAATCTTCTTGATTTGAAGGGTTTTGAAGGATCTTAACCATCCCTCCAAGTCACCCCTGGGTTCATTCCCAAAACCCTAGGTCATTCCTTGAGAAGCAGCAAGTAAAGGGAAACCAAAAACCGAGCCCCACCATTTGTCATGTGTTGGGTCCCAATGTTTGCAGGCAAGCGTCAGCAGCACCACATACAAGGGGTTGCGGCTGTATCCTCACAGAAGGGCGGCCACCAGGCACACAGATACGAGCATCAACACGGCAAGTGCCAACACAATCCCAAAACAGACAATACCATAAGGGGCTCACATTTTCACCTTAGGATGTTGGCTAAGTTTGGCTTTGAAGCACCTCACGATAAACCCTCATCATCTCGGCACTCTTGACATCTTGATGCCAAGTCAATTGCTGCGGGAAAACCTCCGGCCGGTTTTTGTTGCTTTAACTTGCCCAAAAGACTGGGACACCCATTCTACACGGATATGATCGAGTCTTGAGAGGCGAATAATGCACTGGCAAACACGATCAATCACGACCTCAAGCCAAAATGCGAATGACCCAATGAGGTTGTTTGAGGGTTGTTTGAGGGTTGTCTTTCTTGGGGTTGGTCAGAAGGGAAACTCAAGGGACACATGTAGGTGTTTTGTTTTGGGGGGGGTCCCCACATGGAGACACCCAAGAAATGATTTTGGAAGACAACTGCTTTGGAAGTGCTTGTCAGAATGAGTACCCGCACAGTGCTTGGCAGATTGGGGGGGCTGACGGCAGGTCATCATTTGCTGGCGAGCTTGAAGGATACGTCCGCCTTCCCTGTGCTGTCCTGTCCAACCTTCACGAACCCAGGTGAAACATTGCTTATCTGACATGTCACTTTTGCATCTAAGATAACACTTCCGGTTCGACTTGGAGGATTCATAAGACTCAAAGCCTTCGCTCACTTGGAGTGGTTTGCAACCAAGCAATGTGACGAGTCGGGGCCGAGAAGTATCATTCCCATTGCGCTCGTTTTGCGCGTTGGCTCTGAATCCGTACGCTTCCCTCTAACTCGTGATTTGGATCGGTGGTTGGTTTGGAGGTTAGGGGGTGGTGTCCCATTTATCCTCTACAAGCACCAGGGGGTAAGACTAAGCCCACATCTGCGTTTCTGCCCCATATTTAGTCTACCCGAGAAAAAAAAAGTTTGCGCAGGAGCCAGTGAAGTCAACTGAGCCTTGGCCCCTGATTCTCTCCAGGCGTCTGAAGGCCCCCTCTCGCGCGAGGCCCTTGACTGGCGTGAAGGCAGGGCCAGTGTCGTGGGCCGCGAGGGTGCGGAACACCCAGAAGTTCGTGAGAATCCATACCGACCTCGGGGAGTTCAGAACTCTTATTTTGCCCCAGGCCCTCCATACCAACAAGGGGCTCCATTTCTTCTGGGGCGTCCATTTACCAACCTGAGGGATGTGTTGTGTGCTTCATCTTTTCTCCAGGCGCTCCATTTAATACGGGGTGTCGAGGGAGGTGTTTTTTCTCCGGGACCCTCCATTTAATACGGGGCGTCAACCTGTAGAAACGTCGATTTGGGCTTGATTGAGAACAGGAGGCTTTTAGAAGCACCCACCAACTTCGCGAAGCTCACCCTTGTTACCGCCATATTAGCAAATGGAAAACCAACGGGTCCAATACACATCTTCTACCTTTATGGTTTGGCCATGATGCTCGGAGGGGTCTTGTCGATAAGGTGATACCTTTTCTTGGACGGTTTTAAAGATAACCAACAGGAAATGAACCACCTGGAGGGGTCCCCAATGTTGAGAAACCATGAGGATCTCTAAAGTTAGGCTATAGTTAGGCTTTTGCCAATGGACTGCGCAAGCCACCCGCCAAACTAAGCAACACAACCCTGCAAAGCAGGCAAACGAAAATCCAGGTACAAACGATTCGGCCGTGCCATGCTTGTGGAAAGTGAGTACTCCATCCTTGTGACAAGTTTCTCACTTTGAATGGGGATGGCCTTGGTATCACGCAACAACACATGTTTCACATGTCATCGAAGGCAAGACTGCCACCTTTCTGGTCGGGGATGTGGTGCATAGGGCCCCTCAGGCATGTGACCACATATAATGTCAAATCGCAAGTGGCGCGGGCCACTTTCGCGTAACAAAAATGCGCGCTGGGAACCACAACCACCAAAACCAAATTAGACAAATAGCTGAACATGAAACCTGACTCGTCAAGGTCCCTGCCGCAAAGCCTGGTCAATAAGGCAGGGAACGGGGACATCCTTGGCCCCGGGTGCCTCTGTTGCCAAGTTAGGAACTTGGCCCATCTGAAATACTGCAAACCAACGATTGTTGTGCTCTGGTCATGTTTAGCCACACGAAAATCTAAACTAGTTTTGGAAAAGACCCCGGTTAGGTTGGCAACCCCACTTTATTAATATAGGGGTGTTTTTCTCTAAGAGTGACAAGTCCCCCCTACACCCAGACACACCCCCCTATTAATAAGGGGTCAATTCATACGGGGTCAACATGAGTAGGTTTTCCCCTGTTGGGTTTCCACGGGTCCACAATGCAAGTTGCTGACATCCCTTCGGTTCGAGCCGCATCAAAGCGCAGGACATAAGAAGCCGCGTCCAGAAGGTGGCTGACATGATGTTCAGCGGCAACAGCAGCCACAGCACGATGCCCACTAGGCCGATTACCTTGCGCCAAGAGCGAGGGGGTCCTTCCCGAGCAAAACAATGCATCAAAATGCTTGGTGACCTGACTTTAAATCGATCGAACAAGGGAACCAAAGGTTAAAGCCTGTAGGTCCGCTTGAATATCAAACAGATGTCAGAAGACTGCACCACGATGCAGAAACACGCACACACGCACACACACACACACACCCACCCACCCACCCACCCACCCACCCACCCACCCACCCACCCACGCACGCACGCACGCACGCACGCACGCACGCACGCACGCACGCACGCACGCACGCACGCAACCACGCTCACGCAAGACAGCCAGGTCACGCAAGACAGCCAGGTGGCTAGCTAATACGTCCTCGAAATGAAATCGTCTGCCCAGGTGGTTGACTGTCCCTTACCAAACTTCATCTACCCTGGTTTTGATTGTGGCTCAGTTCCCCAAGCAGTTCTGACGACTTTGATTCTCCGGTCGTGCCCCCTCCCAAAGAACCAATCCCAAGGCCCTTCGCGCTTACCCGCTCGCTCGGCAATGGAGGCCACCCTAGGTTTTATCAAGGAAAGTGCTCGTGGCCCAAATGCAAATATCTACCTGGACACAATTCCCTTACAATGGGGTTGTTGCCCAAACAGTTCTGGGGTCAATTCCCTTTCTTATAGGTAGTTTGAGGGTCAGGTCCGGGTATCTATCTCTATATTCTTAGACGTCGTTCGTGTCCCCACAGGTGGTACCGCCAGCTATGCCATGATTCACAAGCCAGGATTCAGATGATTAAGGGACTTTCATCAGTGGACTCGTTTTTCCGCCGAATCGGTGAGATTGCCTTTTCTGTGTCCCCATCTATTCGGATTTATTCCGATTGATTTCGGGCATCCCTACCAACCATTCTGACCATGGCATGCACATATGGCTGGAGCACGTTGGGGGCACGCATTTGTTCCCTTGAGCTTGGCACGCCTTAGGGCCTTGCTTCCCGGAATTCACTCCCCCACCGTACCATCGGTTTTCTGAGGGTGCCCCTTGTCAGGCGCCATGATCCGGAAGGGCACAAAGCAGCTGATTCCTAAGGGGATCCCCAGGTAGGGCACCATCATCGTGGAAAAAAGCTGGCTCCCGCCCCGTGCCCCCCCGTCAACGGAATCGCACGGCAGAGGCAAACCAACTGCGTCCAAAACGCTGCCGTCGCAAAGGGAGGAATCACCGGCACTTCGGCGCCTTGGTCAATCAGTCGTTCGCTGGGTGCTTCTGTGCGTCTCCCGGCATCCCGGCATCCCGGCTTCATGTGCTTGAGGGTGCCGTTTGCTAATTAAAAAGCAAGGCATGACCAACTACATGGGGACAAGTCGAAGAATCAACACCAATTAAACAAATAGAACACAACTTGCTATCTTTCGAATGCAATGGGAACTCTCAACGGTTCAACATCACCCAAAGCCTTGTTGAGGTACAGTCCGCTTGCTGTCTAAACATATACCGACTACAAAGAACGGCAAACTGCAGAGTCGTCCTTCCTCCATGGAACCCCCAAATTGGGTCAGTTGGCTTCCTTAAACAGCTCCCCAGAAAGTACCCCAAATACACGTACGCACACGCACACACATGAATGTGTTGCTCAATGGGGACCCTGCGGTGGACATCGTTTAGGTGGGGACCACCGACCACTTTTGATGTAGTTCCATGTCAAAATTCATCTCGATATGTAGGAAAGCGACGGTCGCGCAACTGACACCAGAATGCCGTTACGGCTGGTTGAAGGCCGGGGACGGACAACCCACCGTGTGGGCACCAATTTACTGGCAAGCACGGAAAAACTTAACTGAAACGAGGATCTGACTCAGCTTCCTTTTTGTTTTCCTTTGCCACAGGCCATCAAAACCTTAACTTGGACGTCAGATCTAGTTTCGTGCTTTATCCTTAGCACGCGGCTGTTCCAAAACCGTCAAGCAAGGGGACAACCTGTTAGAGAAGTTTTTCTTGTCCAGGGCTATGTGCCCTGACTTGCTGGTTCTCAGCAGGGAATGAGAAAATGACCCCTATAATAACGTATGATAAACCATCCCTGGGTTCATTCCCGCATTCCCTACCTTCCATTGGTTAAGACCCCTGGAAAAAATTGGACAATATTTCCCGTAGTGAAATCGATTCCCTTTAAAATCAACAGGGGAGAAAACAACACAACATTTCAGCAAATGGAAGCTACTGAGCCACTTGACGCGTTCCTTGTCAAAGCCGCTGAAGTCGATAGGCTTGCCCACGGACAGCGCGGGGGCGTCGGGCGCCGCGGGTACCGCGCCATAGCTCGGCTCACTCATCGCGAGGCGTGCGGTGCACTCGAGCCAAGAGCCTCAAATCGCAGGGCCACACGGAGGCCTTGGGACGTGCATGTTTGTAGGTCCTCCAGACTTGAGAGGTTGGAATAAGGGTACATTTTTTCTGTAGTCTATTTTAGCACAGTCTAAGGGCCCAAATGGACAACTATACAACGTTGGATCCCCAAGTAAGGCCGCATCATCATGGCGAGCAGGAAACCAAAGGAGGGCTTTGATTGTTTCCACCCCCAACCATCTGCCCCAGGTGAAACAGGTGGCATGTCGTTTCGCCAATATGTACAGCGTACATAATTACCTCGTTTGCCGTTCTGGGTAGTGTTACGGTGGGCAAATCCTCCGACACAAGAACAAAACAAAGGCAGGAATCCGGACCAGTTGTACAAACGCATTGCACATACTCACTTAGATGGTCTGGGAGCTGGCTAACTTGATACAAACCCTGGTTGAAGGCTACTGGAGAAATCACGAAACTACGTGCTTAGCTATGTCCAAGACCATCTAAGTACTCCTTGGATACATGACCACAAAAGGCTGGCTGTTCATGGTGCTCCTCCAAAAGGCGCAAACACCAATTACCCTCTCTCCAACTAACATGGCACCTCACAAAGGGTCCCTTCAGGAGCAAATTGATCTTCCAGCTCCCCTCCAACAGGTACTATGTGAGTGGGAGAGAGGGTACATGGGTTGGCAACAAGGATCCAAGGAGTGCAAACGTCTCACACTTTCCGAAGAGGCGGCGCGCTGAAGCCCTGAACACCTCCCCCTTGCTCGACTGCAAGGGAAGAATCTGTTCCTGAAAGGGGCGGACGGTTGGAGCTTGGAGCCTCCCCGAAAACTTGCAGACTGCATCCGTGATCGCTGTGGGAAACGACACCTTTGATACAAAAAGGGCGTTCCAAAGACCAAATCCCCCATCAAAAAAACATCCCCACAAGTATCACAGAAGTGGTTGGATAAACCCCTTGTGATCCATCCCGCACCCGCTCCCGCACCCCGCGACAAATTTCCACGCGCCTGACGTGTCACATCGCCAGCTTGGTCATCTTGCCGGAAGGTGGGTACCTGGGATCCAGGCTGGTGGAATTAGGACCCCAGCAAATGTATATATATATATATGTATATGTATATATATATATACCTGGGGCCTGAAACGACTGCCGTTTTTTGGTTGCGGTGCGACACGACCATTTTTGTTTCGCACGACCATTTTTTTTGGAACGACCATTTTTTTTTCATACGTGGCATGTACTATACATAATATATATATTTACATGTTGACTCTTGCAATCAGCATGTGGGTTTTCACCCCTATGGGCTTTTACAAGCCCATAGGGGCCTTTGCAGGCCCCGCCGCGTGCACATGGGCTTTCACAAGCCCATAGGGGCCTTTGCAGGCCCCGCTGTGTGCACATGGGCTTTCACAAGCCCATTTGGGCCTTTGCAGGCCCTGGTTTGGGCCTTTGCAGGCCCTGGCCACATGGGCTTTCACAAGCCCATTTAGGCCTTTGCAGGCCCTGGCCACATGGGCTTTCACAAGCCCATTTGGGCCTTTGCAGGCCCTGCCGAGCCACATGGGCTTTCACAAGCCCATTGCAGCACGGCATGCGCGTGGACTGATGCCATCCTCGATGCCATAGAGCTGCTCAGACTGGAACCTCAGCTACGCGGTCATTGGGTCCAGACACCATCCATGGATTTGTGTGTGTGCGTGTTGCTATGCTCGCGCATGCCGTGAAGATGTGCAACATGTGTGAGCCGCAGTGATTTGGACTGGCCCAGCATTAAGCCCGTGCTGAGCCATGCAGTCGGGTGGCAAGGATGACGTGTGCTACAAGTTTCAGGGTCACGAGGAATGGCTAGAAGGTCTTCACGAAGACCTTGAAAAGCAGAGACGGTGGAGGAGCCGATCGAGCTCCGGGCAGCACCTTGTGCAGAAGCCGGAGGACTGCGTGCAGACCAAGACGTTCAAAGCGTACAGCTACGTGGTGGTGAATGCTGAGCTGCTGACCCACTACGTGGCTCGCATGGAGGCAGTTGGCTGCTTCAAGACGCCCAGCATTGAGGCTCTGAGCGTTGAGACGTTGCGCTTCCACCAGCTGGCCCACAACCCGCACAACGCGGAACAAGTGGAGCTGGTAGCCCGCACGGACGCATGGAGCTTGCGAAGAATGCTCACGTTTCTGCGAAGAAAATGGCAGCGGCAGGAGCGACCCAGAGCTACTTGGTAGAATATGTAACACGATGCGAGTGGGCTCTCCCTCATGCAAAATTAAGGACCGTCGCGTGAGGGACCTGGTTGAGTACTATAACCGCGCATACGTGAAGATGGAGAGTGCTACTCGTTAAGCACGATCGAGCCTATACACTCGCGTGTAAATGCTTGCCTCTGCATGCAGGCTCTTGGCCCCCAAGCTGCTGCGGTTGTCTTGGATGACTCGGACGTAGAGAACTTGGAGAGTGACGACGCTGGTGAGAGCTCCTGGACGCCTACAGAGATTCTTTCACCGGTTACGACCAGCGATGCAGCTTCAAGTGTGGGCAAGGAGGCGGCTATGGATGAGATGACGGAGGAAGCACTTCGCAAGATGCTGGCGGCGGCTGAGAAGAAGCTGAAGGCTAAGCAGCTGAGACTCGGATGTGTGTGTGCGTGTGTGCGCGTGCATGTGTTATGTGGAACGCATGCCTCCTTTGCACGGAGCTAACACCCGCGGACTCTTTAGGATGGCGGCTGAGCGCTCAAGGATGCAGCAAGAGAAAAGATGCTTAGATGCAAAAGATGCATGTGACACCGTGAAGCATATAAAATATATAGCCCGTGCGATCTCAGGTCATCAGCAGATTGTGCTTGTTATCGATGATGAGGGTGATGAAGGTGACCGCGGGAAGATTTCATGGGATGAGCAGCAAACAATCCCAATGGCTATCAACACGCTGGCGATTGAATCTCACATAGATGATGCGGTGACGCCTGAGAACAAGCCCGCGCCGACCGAGTTGCAAATCTCCCCTGCAAAGATTGCTCCTTGCCAGCGCTTACTGTGCTCCTGAGCGCATGCATGCTTTACCCTAGGCACGCACGTGTGGAATTTGCACACTCTGTGTGAGGTGACACGCAACGACCAGCTGGTTTTGAAGGCCTCAAAAAACAAGAAGAAGAACGACGAGGACAAGGAGGCCCAGGAGGAGCAGGTTGAGGACAAGAGAAACGAGGGGGAAACCGTGGAAGGCGAGGTCGCCCCACGCAAAGGCAAAAAGGGCAAGGGCAAGGGCAAGAAACACAAGGCAGAGGACCACAAAGACAAAGAGGAGACTCCTGAGGAGTTGCCCTCAAAAAGCAGAAAGGCAAAGGCGCAAGCAAAGCCAAAGCCAAAGACCACGCCTCGCGCCAAAACAAAAACGACAAAGAAGGCCTCCAAACGCAAGGCAGGCTCAGCGGAAACCGACACGGAGAATGAGAAGGATAGCGATGAGGATGGATCTGCTACTGGCGCCAAGAAGGCCAAGAAAACTGCCTTGCCTGGCTTTCCCTTAACCTTCGCCCGGCGTTACCGACCCGAAGGGGACAAGCCAGCCCTGCACTGGGAAAAGAAGTTCGTTGCCTTCAACAAAACTGTGCACAAGATCCTGGGCAACCAAAAGCTGAAGTCGAAGATAGAGGCTACATGCTTATAAATCATGTGCACGCATTGCTCCATCAGGAGCGCAACAACAAACATGCGGCTTACAACTCAATTCCCTTGCCCCGCGCTAAAGCGGCCAGGTTGCCTTCTGGAAGTTCGTGACCTTGGAGTGGGAGAAGCACGGCGAATCCGAGTCGCCCAAAGACCTCGAGGCATTCTACATGCATGCGGCAGAGGAGTTTGTCAAAGACGGCAAGGAGACAGGGGTGGGGTGTTAAAAAAAATACACTTGCAAGCATTTAACCTGCGTGTGCCTATTGCACGATTGGTGTGAGCCTGCGTGATTCATCCCTTGAAGGTGATCCCAACTGCTGAGACCGGATGATCTTTTATGGCCATTGAGGGGGCGAGCACATGTGTGCAGGGGTTCTGGGGGTGCAAGGGCTGCATAGATATCCTGGCAGTGCTTGCAGTGTGGGCCGTGCGTAAAACAAATCCATGCATGCAGAAACAGCATGTGCATAATCTCGGGATGCATTGGTGCTGTGTGACCGTGCGTACTTCAGTGTGACGCGCACACACACACGCGTGCAGGCAAATGGATGCCTCCACGACGCCTCAAGGGCCTGCGCCATTTAGCAAGGCAGCCCGAGCTCAGTGATGCTGCAGGTCTTTCTGGCAAGATTTGCTTCGATCGCCCATTTGTGATCGTTGTAGGTGCGTATTCACAAATTCAACTTAAGCAGCTTGCAGCCGTTTGGGGTGTGCAGGGTTTGGTACCGGTGTGGTCCAATGGGGTCACGCGCTGATGGCATCGTTGTTGGGCTTCTTAGATTGAAAGTGCCAAAGGCTCCTTGGAAGAATTTGTTTTCTTGCAAGCTTCAATCGCACAACGCCATAATCCCCGTGCGCTCCCAGATATTCGTGCTGTGCGTTTTGCTCGTGCTCTGGAACGAGAGCATCAACGTCGACCAGGCGGGAACCCAAGGGCTGACGGGGAAACAGGGTGCACTGCATCAAAATGCTCCATGTGTGATGCCAACTTAATTCATGATTTGCGTGGCTGTCTCAATCTCAAGATGCCCCGTGGAAGCGAGTCCACGGCTATGCGCAAGGCGACCAGGGCTTTGCTGCATGCGGTGCAGCAACGCGGTGGCCTAGATGGTGATGGCCACTTCGCGGAGGCCGTGGGTCAACTGGAACAGCTCTCCAGGCGGCAACGTGATGCGGACCCACGGTCAAAGCAACACGGAGGAGCCCAACACAAAGACTTGCTGCTGACCATGGTCGAGAAGCTCCGGCAGCCTGCTCCGGATGCGGAGGCTGCCTCGGACGCGCAGCCTTCACGGCCAGCGCCCCTCG